GCAGGGAACTGGATCAAAAATGAAGCAGCCATAGTTGGAACCAGCACTTGTGTGGATATGGGTGCTGACATTGCAGGTAGCGGCTTAACCTACTATGCCACATCAGCCCACAATCTTTTTTATTTCAACTATTTTATTAGGTATATACTAGTATCTCATTGTGATGGTAATTCATATTTTCCTAATAACTGATGGAAAAAACTTGAGTTTTTTTCACAGTGTTTTTCCATCAATTTTATTTTATTTAGAAATGTATCTGTTCGGAGTTTTTTTTTTTTAATTTGTCTTTTTGTCACTTTTTTGTATATTATTAATAAAAATCCTGATATTTATGCAGTAATATTTTTTCCCAGTCTGTTGATTGTCTATTTGTTTTTTTGGTGGTTTTTGATGAGCAGAAAATTACAAAATTTTATGAAGTTCAGTTTATCAATTTTGTGTCATATACTTTGTGCTTTTTGTTTTCTGTCAAAGCAGTCTGTGCCTACTCTATGAGGTAAAGGTATGTTTCCTTCTAGAAGTTTTACTTTTATGTCTGTGATTCATCCTGAATTAACTTTTGTGTGTGAAATGAGATACGGAATGCAGTTGTATTTTTTCCAGATGGTTATCCAGTAGTTTCAAAACCATTGTTATATAAATGTTCTTCTTTCCTCATTGACTTGCTATGACTTCTTTGTTGAAAGTCAATTGACCATATATGTACAGTCTGTCTACTTCTGGACTCTGTATTCCATTCCACTGATCTATTTGTGTATCTTCAGACCAGAAGTATAGTCTTGATTGCTGTAACTTTATAGTAAGTCTTGAAATGTAAATAGTAGCACATTGCCTTACCCATTTCTTTAAAGTAATCTGCTGGAATTTTGGGAGGGGTTTTATTAATGTATCAGTTTAGTGGAAATGGACATGAATCCTCCCATTCAAGAATATGTTTTTTCTTTCCATTTGTTTATGTCCTTCTTGATTTATCTTAGTGCTATTTTGTAGTTTTAAAAAATGTAAAAGTCATACATCCTACCATTGGTTTTTCCAGAGTGATTCTGTAGTTTTTGTTTTGTTTCATATTTTTTATGATCCTGTTAATGGTAATTTCTAGTTTATTTTTAATTTAATTTTAATTTAATTTTTATATTTAATAATTATTTTCTAATTGTTCCAGGACTTGCTGATTTCTTAATTTTTAGTCCATTGCTTCCAAGGTAGTAAGTTCTTGCAGCTCATACCAAATGAATTTCATTTTGATGCTGAAAGAAAATGCAAGTCAGTCAAAATAAATGAACTTTGCAATATTAATTTTAGAATACCTATTCTGTTAATTAAAGGATCTTTTCTCTACTTCACTGGTGAATGTTGTCCTCAGAAGTCTTTGTTATCCATAAGATTCAGCTGGCAAACCCCTAGAATACAGAGTAAATGAATGAATGATATTTGGGTAGCTTTGGGATCTCAAGTGGGAAGGTTTGGGTAGTGGAGATCATAGGAGAGAAGGACAAGAATAAAGTAAATTTTGACAAGAGAAAAATAACTTGTCTTTTTATGGTGATAACAAATGATTGAGGCTGCCTCCCAAAGGAAGTATCATATTTAGAAATAGGAAAAATTAATATTCACTTTGGGATTGACAAGTCTTTAAATCTTTAGGGACTTGTTTCCCATTAGCAACAGAAAATTACTTTAGATTTTAATGCTAAAAATATGCATAATATTGCAACCATTTTATTACTAGGCCTCGTAATTCAAACTTCTTAAAAAAAAAAAAAAGAAAAAAGTTCTAATGCCTCTTGTGGTCCAGCATAGAAATATTTGGACTATGTTTTGATTTCTTGTTGCTACAAAATTTAACAAAAACTCAGTGACTTAAAAGAATTTTATACTTGCACAGTTCTAGAGACTGGAGACCAAAATTAGTATAACTGGGCCAAGATCAAGGTGTTGGCAGGGCTGCAGTCCCTCTGGAGACTCAGGGGAAAATCCATTCCTCGTTTCTTCCAGCTGCTGGTGACTGGTGGCGTTTCTTGACTTGTGGCCACATCACTTCAGTCTTCCAGGAGAGTATCTTCATGTCATGTTCTCTGTGTGTGTCAAATCCCCCTCTGCCTCTTTTCTTATAAGAGCATTTTGATTTGCATGTGGGCCTCCTGAATAATCTCCCCATTTCAAGATCTTTATCTTTAATTTTTATTAATTTTTCCAAATTTTATTTAAGTTATGCAAGTTGCATGTATTTCATATATACAGATTTAGGAGCATAGTGATACTTTCCACCCTACCCTCCCATGCCCCAACCCTTCTTCCTCCTCCTTCTCCCATTCCCACTCTTAATTTTTACAAAGATCTATTTTCAGTTTACTTAATGCAAAATCTTTATCTTAATCACATCTGCAGATGGCCTTTTTTTTCCAAATAAAGTAACATTTACAAGAGCCAGGGATTAGGATTTGATACCCCCCCCCCCCATCAGATTACCCCAGGCTATTAGAATTTTCTTTTTTTCTGGCAGTTGTTACCAACAGATTGGACTGAGGCATTCAGCATGCTAAATGACATCGTATTGTTATAATTGCCATTTCTAAATGCAATATAGCTATTTAATGGATGTTATGGAATGATATGAAATTTTAGTGGCACAACTGAATAGACTTCAAAGCTTCAGAGCTAATTATTTCAAATAGCAATCAGAAAATGGTAATTAGGAAGAGATTGAATTGTACTTTGACTATCAGAGAACATATATGACTCAATAAATTTAGCTACAGTTTTTTTTTTTTTTTTTAAGATTTATTTATTTATTTGAAAGTCAGAGTTACACAGAGAGAGAGGTCTTCCATCTGCTGGTTCACTCCCCAGTTGGCCACAATGGCTGGAGCTGCACCAGTCGGAAGCCAGGAGCTAGGAGCTTCCTCCGGGTCTCCCAGGTGGGTACAGAGGCCCAAGGACTTGGGCCATCCTCTACTGCTTTCCTAGGCCATAGCAGAGAGCTGGATCAGAAGTGGAGCAGCCAGGTCTCGAACTGGCTCCCATATGGGATGCCGCCGCTTCAGGCCAGGGCATTAACCCCCTGTGCCACAGCACCAGCCCTCAGCTAGAGATTTTAATTTGGGGAAAACAGGAACTAATTCCTGATGTTGTAGAACTTTCTTAATCAGATGATTAGGTCTAACCTTTTCTATTTGTTGTACCAAGTAGACTTTATATAATGGCCTAATAGAAATTACTTTTCTTTTAATCTGTGCTCCCACCCTGGATGTTTAGAATGATTCTTCCTGTGCCTTACTTTACACTTGTGACAGGTTGAGTCTTCACATGTAACTGTATCTTAAATGTATACTGATGGCATAGCTGAATATGTTGCATTAAGGAATAACATTTATACAGATGGGCTTCACATAGTCTTAGGAATGGATCAGATAGTGAACTTTAATACAGCCAGCTCTATTTTGACTTTGGCATGTTTCTTGACTATCCCAACTTCAGGGATTATTAAAATCTCAGAATCGGAATGACTTTTTTGAGTATCATTTGGTGAATTGTGGACATAAGAACATGAATCAGTAAAGCTTTAGTTTCCTTTTCTGTTTTTCAGTCATTATATGGATCTGGCATGGGAGGAGTAGTTGTCAAAGGGAAAGTAGAGCTTAATTCTCATTGGTACACCTCCCATCATGTATAATGTTTTCCAGTTCTGTGTATCGAAATATCACAATACCTTTTGCTCTGTTCATAAGTATCATCAGTAGTGTGGGGAAGTTCATTAAGAAGATGACTTCATTATTAAAGGCAGTACTCCACAATATAATGAAAAACTTACATACTTTCTGAATTCTCCATTGGGAATTGAAGTCATTTGGTGTCATGTTACTTGCCACAACTTATTGAGTAGCTTTGGCCTTAGCTACTTGGATAATAAAATGGTATGATACTTGTAATTTTTTGTGTACTTTTAATTTCTGTAAAGCAATCAATAAAAGAATTTAAATAATCATATCATTATTTGAAGAGTATGTGAACAACCACATTGATATGTCATGGATCTTTGCCTGTTTTATTATCAAAACTTGAATAAAAGAATACAAAATAAACTGCTTCCCGATCATCTAAACTTCTTTTTGAAATTAAAATATGTTCTATAATCTATTGGATAAAAGTATCAGAATAATTACTGTTTAAAATTCTAAATAAAAACTATTAAGTGGTTCCCTATTTAATTGAGAGTGGAAAAATTACATATCTGGATACTTGCTACTGTTCACCCAGATTACTTAAGTGAAATAGCCCTAAATTTAGTTAACCTTTCCTCATTTTGTTTGTTATGGAGAGACTAACTGCTGAAAAGCAAATGATGTTGTGATCCTTTCTGAAGAACTCTTAGGTAAAAGAGAAGGAAGAGCCACAGAGAACATCAGAGAAAATAAGGAAGGGGACAGTACAGTGAGATATCCATTGAGCCACATGTGCATGTTCAGGGCTGAGGAAGAAGATGAAAAGTGTTTTTATTTTTCTGATTAGTTACATTTCTATCTTAAATCATTGTATGATGTAATTTCATGAAGAAAACCTAGCAGTCTGTTTTGTTATGATAATCTATAGCCAAGCACATTATATAAGGAAAGTTTTATGCTCTGCAGTTTGTGTTCTTCCCTTTTCGTGTCCTGCTAGTCTGCACGTACCTATTTCTATTTGTGTTAGTCATCCTCTCTAGGTAAATTGTCCATGAGACCAATGATTCCATGAGCAAATTATCCAGAAAACGCTGTCTTTGCACGTTGTGACAGATCATGTCATTGGTAGATTTATAGCTACTCCAATGGTCTAATTAACCTGGCAGTTGTCTCCTGTGCCAAACACTGTTGTCTTACTACATTGGCATCTTAGTTTTCTTCTTCTCACTATCTTTTCTCTTAACTGAAGCTTTAAGATTTGCAGTTGTGTCCCGCCCTCCCGTTAAACCTATCCCTACTCAATTCAGTACTCACACTCCCTTTATTTTTGATTGGCAGTATCATCCAGATAAACAAAGTACAGATGTTCCAGCAGGAACGGTGGAGGAGTGTTTACAGAAGTTCATCGAAGTTGATCAGGCGTGGAAAATCCTCGGGAATGAAGAGACAAAAAAAGAGTATGACCTGCAGCGGCATGGTAGGTTCTTGGGTTTGGAGCCCCAGTCCGTGGGCATCTATGTGAAGCGCAGTCTGCAGCCATCATCGGGAGCATTTTCCAGCATTTGCACCCAGTTACTGCCACCTTTCCTCCTCCACACCGTCACTGTTTTTAATTATGCCCTATTCTTCGTAATGATTATTGTGTATCCATTGAGAAGTTAACAGAACTACTAGGATATTGATTCCTTTGAAACCATGAAAGCTACTTTTTGTAACTATTGAAAAATGTTTAATTATACATTCCTAATGAATGTGTTTTATACTTTTTATTAAATTTAACTATGTACACATTAAAATCCTAATAGTGCTTTTGAGGCTACTATATAAATGACCTTCTAAAAGAAGATACTATATAGGTTGTATCCTATCCTATTCTGTCCTATAACTTTGTAAAGCTCTTTGCTATCTTTGAGTTCATTTTTAGGCTGAGTTTCATGATGGCCCCAGAATAAACTATTCTATATAAGATTGTTGTAAATGATACTTTAGGATGCACATTGTTTAAGAGTCTTAAAAGCAATTTCTTTTATGCTTTTCAGAAAATAGCTTCTTAAAATAGTGTCAAGCTGTTGTGAGAAAGAAAGGGAGAAATGTAGGTCAGATTTGTCACACATGGACTGCAGTTACAGGAAGTGATAGGCTGCCTTTCAGCACTGGCCTTGGGACAGGAGTCCCTCAGCCTTCCGTTTGGACCTTCAATATACACCACACATGCTAATGGGGGGAGTCAATAATCAGTTACAGCCTGTGGGGAAAACACTCAATTGCTCTCCCCAGTGGCACATCAGCCTCAGTCAGCATTGACTGGGACGTGTGGATAAAAGCTTGCTGTCCCTGTAGTTGATTATTGAAGCTTCTCTCATGCCATACGCTGGCACATCGTCAAACCTCACAAAGTGGTTTTAAGGCTCTTACTACAACGGCTATGAAAATTTGATTTGAGAACAGGCTTTATATCTGAAACACAGAATTGCAGGATAAAGCCAGTGATATTTGTAGAACATCTAAAGGGTGTTGTATGGATAAAATAGATTATTTCCTATAGACAATGTCTGATTCCTTTATGTAAAAAGACTTAATAAGCAATTTGTTTATGTACTTAAATATCTGTTTTTATTAGTGACTTATAGTACTAAGAAGCTCTAAGGCCTTTTTTTTAAGCTAATGGCCTTTTTAAAAAATATTAAGAACTTGGCAAATGTACCATTACAAAAAAATTGCATTAATTTTTAAATATGCCTTGACTGTTAGGCTGTACTTATATTTTGTGTAAATAAGAGTACTTTAGAAAGTTCATGGAAAATGAATTCTTAAGAGTATTATGGAAAAACTATGCATGGATTTCAGAAATATTGACATCAATATAAAAGCATGTTTTAATTCTATTTTTCCATGAACTTTTTGAAGTCTCCTCGCATATAAGCATCTTCCTAATGTTTCTAATGTATTTCTTTAGTAAATGTTTTTACTTCTGACAAAAGAATATAGACTTTCTCCCCATAGATAACACCTTTTTAACCTTCATTCACACAATAGAATTTCTGCGAAAGAATTGGAACTAATACATGTGAATGTGTTGTATGTGAAAAGTAACCTGTATTCCTAAAGCTAGCAGACTCTACTGTAGGTGATTTTTGCACGTGTTTGCTAGTCTTTATTAAGAGGGGTGCCAGTTTGCTTAACATAAGAGTAATTCTGGGGCCAGCGCTGTGGCATAGCGGGTAAGGCCACCGCCTGCAGTGCTGGCATCCCCTGTGGGTGCTGGTTCGAGTCACGGCTGCTCCACTTCTGATCCAGCTCTCTGCCATGACCTGGGAAAGCAGTAGAAGATGGCCCAAGTCCTTGGGCCTCTGTACCCGTGTGGGAGACCCGGAAGAAGCTCCTGACTCCTGCCTTCTTATTGGTGCAGCTCCAGCCATTGTGGCCAATTGGGGAGTGAACCAACAGATGGAAAACCTCTCTCTCTCTGCCTTTCCTCTCTCTATGTAACTCTGCCTTCCAAATAAATATATAAATCTTAAAAAAAAAAAAAGATAAGAGTAATTCACACAAAACTGTACCCTGGAGGCCAGCATTGTGGAGCATCAGGTTAAACTGCCACTTGTGACATTGACATCCTGTATCAGAGTGTCCATTTGAGCCCCAAGCTGCTCCCCTTCTGATGAAGCTCCCAGCTAATGCAGGGAAGGCAGCACAAGGTGGTCAAAGTACATGGGCTCCTGCTACACATATAGAAGATCAGGATGGGGTTCCTGGCTTCAGTCTGGCCCAGAGCTGGCTGTTTTTGCCATTTGAGGAGTAAATCAGTCAATGGAAGATTTCTCTGTCTCTCCCTCTCTCTGTGTCTTTCAAATAAATAAATAGATAAATCTTACCAAAAACAAACAAACAAAAACAAAAACCCACACAACACTGCATCCTAAAGAGGATAAGGATAAGGTATGTACTTTCACTGTCACTCATCATTTCTACCACTCCACAGCCTGTATACTATTACATATTACATTATAGTATTAGATATTAGTGAAATTGACTAGAAGCCTGCTGTCCAAAGAGAAATGGTGTAGGGAGAGGTCAAACATCATAAAATATTCTCTATTGTGAGGGTATAAGGTGGGGTATACCCGAAATGGAAAGAAATAGCAAAATGAGTCAAACGTGAGCATAGAGTTACATTCAAGAAGGGTTTTAAGAGATGTTAGAACAAATAATCAACATATTCAAGACTTTCTCTTTGAGAAGTCCTTGTAACATTGGATTTCTTTTAAACTTTGAGTCCTTGGTTTTCAGCTTTTAAGCTTTTAATGGAAGCAGCTGTGGCCACTGAATCACAGGGGACTCGTGGGTTAGTAGTTTAGACAAGCCAAATATACTGAGAGTTGGGCCTGATTCATGATTCAAATAAATAGCTTGGGATTTATATGATGTCAGTCTGCCTTGCAGATTTCTCAAGCAGGTGATTACTGAATTGAGCTGTTCTAGGACTGCAGAAATAGCTTCTCATGCCATTTTAGTTCCTTAGATCTAAGCATTAAATATTTCTTTTTTTAAAAAAATAACTTAGAAAAGCAGAGTTACACACACAGTTACAGAGATCTTCCATCTGCTGGTTCATTCTCCAAATGGCTGCAATGGAGAGGACTGGGCCAGACTAAAGCCAAGAGCCTGGAACTCTATCCATGCCTTCCACATGAGCAACAAGGACCCACATACTTGGGTTATCTTTCACTGCTTTCCCAGGCACATTAGCAGGGAGTTGGGTCAGAAATAGAGCTGCCTGGTCTCAAACCAGCACTCACACAGGATAATGGGGGTCACAGGCAATGGCTTAAACTTGCTGTACCACAACACTGTCCCCTAAATATTTCATTTTTCCCAGAGACTATGAATAGTAAAGAATGAGTGCTTTATTTCAATTTTAAATGGAGGTTGGCTTGTTATTTTGAACCTTTTATACCAGAGCTATTTTTCAAAACTCTCAAAATCAACCTACTTTTGTGTTGTTATTTCTGTTTAATATTTTTTTCTTGATGCATCTTAACTGGCTCCTTAAAAAAAGAAAATGAACTTGAACTTTTAATGGTGAGGATTTAGATTTGATAGAAGGCAAACCTCTGAGAGTGTTAATTTGTTAAAGACCAGGATAGGTTACCAAGAGAGAGAGAATTTGTTAGAACAAGGTCAAAGCACTCTTTTTTTCTGGGTCACCCCCTGGGGACATGGAAATAGCTTTGTTGTACAGAACTCTTCTTGCGTGTGGTAATAGTTCATTGTAAAACTTTCTTTTCATTAGGATGTGCTTTAAATATGTTTGTTTCCTGCCCACAATTAACTTACAGTATAAAATAAATGAGATCTGAAACACTTGGGAAGGAGGTAGGAGAGATGCTTTCTTGGCTGATATTGAATGCTTTCTCATATCTCACAGCTCAAAGTAGGTGCTCTGTTGTAATACAAATCTCATCAATACTGCCCATAGCCATTTTCCTATCAAAAAGATAATTTAAAGTAGTTCTTGACATCCATATTTCTTTGCTTCTTCAAAGAAATTATCAGATGGGTTCTTCATAATACACAAGAAGTAACAGTCTAGGCCAGATAACTTAAAGTAAAATAGACAAGTTTTTTTCTTTCTTATTTCCTCTTTTCTGCTCTTCAGTTGATATTTTAGGGCACATTGACTAGGCTGTAGAAAAGCAAACCTAAGAAAAGGATTAGTAATATTCAGTTCACAGAGATTACACATTTCAAAAGCAATGTTAACTAGTGAATTTAATTAGTTAGTTTCAGTTGGCATATTTACCTTATGGTTTTCTAAGATGCTTCCAAAGGCTGCTTCCAGTGTTCCTCTGAAAAGGGATGTAGTTATTCAAGACTAGGCTTTGCATTTCAACAAGATGAGCATTTTGGAAAACCCTTATGGGATTTACAAAATATTCACTTGAACAAAATCTGTTGAATAGGTTTTGTTGCCTTTATAAACCTTGTGGGGAATGTTCTCATATATTAAGCACATTAAAAAAACATATCAGAAGTATATCATGGGAAAATAATATGGATCATGATTCAGTAGCTTTGTAGTATGACAGTAAAACATATCTGTGATGTCTTGGTAACTCTACAGAGTGACACTCGTAAGTTGAGTTACTTCTGGGTGACCTAAAGAGGAACAAACCTTCAAATGAGGTTAATCAGATTAAATAACATTTTTTTAAAGTAGGTTTTGTTAAAAATCCTCACTGGTAATGTATATTAGAGTATTAGTCTGTTTTAGTGAAACATTTTGGTAATGTGGAACCTTTATTCTCCACAGTTAGCCAAGTACGTGGATAGCCAAAACAGCCTGACGCAGAAGAGGGTTGGGTGAGACCTGTGAAAGGAGCATGTGTTCGCTCATAGTTCATCAGGCCATCTCCTTAGTTAGGTACAATAATAGGTCCATTTCTTGTGTTTTATTGTACAATTCATTTCAGCCCT